GGGATTTATATTTTTTAAAGGGACTTGAATCTCTTACTGCTTTAAGCTCTCCCAAGGCCCACCTCCTTTTTTCATGCTGTTATTTTTTGCCTTACAGATTTTATTTCTGAATGACGTACTGATTTTTTTTTTTTGGTATACTTTTTTCTCCTTTTATAAACCAGAAGAGAACCTAAGGGAATAAAGGCTGTTTTAGCCCACCTATGGACTTACTAACTTTGAGACAAATCATTAAGCTTTCATGTTTTTCCTTTTGAAATATAGGTCTGATCCATCCCTACCTCTAAAAGCTTGTGCTCACCAAATGAGATTTTTGAAGTGGTTGCAAAGAAATGACCTCTGAAAACAAGATTGAGATACTGATATTAGAAGACGTGTCTTTTTCACTTTCTTCTCAGCCTTACTACATTTTTTCCTTGGTGCCAGGGAATAGTTGGTTTTGGTTTGATACATGTTCAATTTTTTAACTCTTCCTAAGCCAACTTTTAGAAGTCAGAAATTTCATATTGTGTTATGTTGTATTGGCTGCCAACAAGATGAAGATAGAGGACTTAAAGTTGGGGATGAATGAGGTCAATTGATGACCTGGGAGAATGTGGTGTTTTATTTTCTAGCCACCAGTGGCACTTGGCCCACCTTATCAGTGGGATCTACATCGGTGGATTCAACTAACCTCTTGATCAAAAATATTTGAGGGAAAAAATGGATAGTTTTCTGTCTTGAATATGTACAAACTCATTTTTGGGGGGGGGTGTGTGTGACAAGAGTCTTTGTCACCCTTGGTAGAGTGCTGGGGCATCAAGCGATCCTCTTGCCTCAGCTTCCCAAGTAGCTGGGAATAGAGGTACGGGCCACAATACCGTGCTATTTTTAGAGATGGGGTCTAGCTCTGACTCAGGCTTGTCTCCCAACTCCTGAGCTCAAGCAGTCTACCTGCCTCGGCCTCCCAGAGTGCTAGGATTACAGACTTGAGCCACTGTGCCTGGACTAGACCCTTTTCTCCTTATTCGCTAAATAATACAGCGTAACAACTATTTACATAGCATTTACATTGTGTTAGGTATTAAAAGTAATCTACAGATGATTTGTAATATGTGGGAGGATATGCATAGGTTATATGCAGACGCTGTGCCTTTTTAGATAAAGTTTGAACATCTGTGGATTTTGGTGTCAGCATGGTACTGGAAGCCATCTCCTACTAGTACCAGGGGACAACTGTATTTTACTCTCGACAGGCACTGACTGACTCCATGAACTCTCAAGAATTCATTAGAAAATAGTACACTTGAGCCTTATGTTTTGTGGCCTTGTTGTTGGTTGGTCAAGCCCAGTGTGCTGTGGACAATTTTAGGTTCTTTATTGTTAATCCTTTGAAATCATGTTTTAGCTTTTTTTTTTTTTTTT